CCCCCCCCCCCCCCCCCCCCGCCGCGTTCCCCTCGGGCATTGAACCCGGGCGGACGTGATGCCGTGAGGCGAGGCCGGAGCCAGCGCCTGTGGCTGATTATCGGCGGTCCACAATGTGGACTCTACACAACCGCACGGGTTGCGGGCCTGATTTGCAGCGCAGGAGGCCAACCCTACCGCGGGATCTTGAGGGAATCCCGACATACCCCCGGCGCGTGTGCGCGCCGGACGCCTTCTTACTCCACCAGCCCATACACTTGCAGGGAGAGCCGCGTACGCACGAATTGTGGACGAGCCCCAGACACGCGCCGAACAGCACTGCGCCTGCTGCAGCGTGTGCGCCAACACTGCCCTCGCTGCGCTGCGCCGCAGCCCCGGCAGAATATGACAGCGCTTGCGAGGCATGCATGTGTAAGCTATAGCTGTATCCTGCAGCCAGGTGAAGCCAAGAAGCACCGACGCACCTCTCAAAACTGCTCGCCCAGGTTGGGTTGTGATGGCGTCTCGACGGCGACCCTGCGGATCGTCGAGAACAACAATATAATAGCTCGTGTCTCACCTGCGTGATTCACGGGAGCCTGGGGCGTAGTCGGAGTCCCCCTTGCGTCAGAAGTCCGATGACCCTGCTGTTTTCTGCATCAGTGCATACGACCAAGCATTGCGAATAGTGACAGAAGTTGGGAGAGTTGGATGATAAATATTTGAAATCTGCTGAATGATCGGTGCAATTGAGTGCAATGTCAAAGGTGAGGGTAGAAACAGCACCGGCTGTCAGTCCGGCTGGCAGCCTGCCGGTGCTGTTTCTGCCCTCCCTGCCCAACCTGTCGGCGACTCGCCGCTGTCTTCAACCGTTAGTCACATCACAGCATCGATGAATTGGCACGATGAACTGAGAGATGTAGCAGGTGGTGATGTTCACGTGAGGGTCGGCAACGGAAAGGGGGGAGAGAACGAGAGCAGCAGGCCGAAGAGGGGTTGGGCGAGCGCGAGAGGGAGAGCGAATGGGAAGGGAGCAAGAGCGGGAGCGGGGGCAAGACAGGGTAAAGGTGCGGCAGCGAGAGCAGGTGCCACGGTAAGGGAGGGGCGAGAGGGGAAGCAAGAGGAGCATCAGGCCGGGAAGGTGGAGATGGAGAGAGAGGGACAGTGGGAAAGGTGAGACAATTACCCATAGCTTTTACCAGCGCGATAGTTTGCACATGATACTGCACCCCTTCAGATTGAATGTGAGTGTTGATAATGCTGCAGCTGTCTAACAATCCAAGCTGTTTGCTTTGTTAGAGGAGCCTGTATTCAGGTGCGACGGTGATTACATTTCAGCACCGCCTGGCAAAAGCCACTCACAAGCAGGATTGAGTATATTCATTATGCTTCCGCGCTGCAGCATTGTCCCCCGAGCATGAAATTTATTGTCAGCGTCCCAGGCACAGACACGCAGCAACACGCACTCTCAGCAATGTGTCATGCAACACGAGCACCACCCTCTCACACATCCCAAGCATACTCCACCGCGCGCACACATACTCGTACAGTCCCAAAACGCATGCGTGCGAAAATTTTCAGTACTACCGTATAATTTTTAAGAGGCATGTCGCAGCCATGTCATCCCCGCGTCAAACAGCATTTCATCGCGACTGCAGGACCCTGCCAGACGCCGCCAGTACTGAGCGCATTTACGCCTCGCCGGGCTTTGGAACTGCAAAAGAGCTTTGAATGGTACGCAGCACGTTCTCGTGCTTGCGCCACGCGTGTGCATTCCGTGCAGACACCGAAAGGATCAGCAACCGGTTGCCCACAGCTGTCGCTGACACAAGCCTGGATCATGGGGTGAGGGAGGAAGATGTTGCACCACAAGCGGTGTTGAAGATACAGATTTGAAGTTGGTAAGGACGGTGGGTGACAGCATGCCGTGTTCTGAATGAATAAGGCAGTCCCTGAAAAGTCAACAGCACAATCTTCGCACAAACCTTTGAGACCAGCCATGGCCTGGAACAGCAAGCACACTTCACCCACCGTGCGTGCGCACACGTACGCACGCACGCACGCCCACCCAACCACCCACCCACCCACCATACTCACGCCCTTGCAAGAGACGCCAGCAACACCTGCGCGCCTCTTCGCCTCAACCCCTGCCATTCCCAGACACGTCGCACCTGTGCGGCCGCACGGCCCACTCGTAGTAGCTCAGCCCCTCCTTGACCAGCACGCGCGCCTCCAGGACGTCCTCCTCGTCAAGGGGCGACCCAAACAGCTCGGGCGCAAACCCGGACAAGATACGGCCGGGGGGCGCGAGCTCGTTGATGCGCACGTCGGCGTTGGGTGGGATGTCTGAGAACCTGTCGCGAGCGGGGCCGCGCAGGGGTGGCCAAAACCAGTGTGGCGAGGCAGCGGCGGTGAACCCCCCTGGAATTCGGCCGGACAATGCGCGGGCATGCAGCAGGGCGATGGGGCCTTAACGCCGAAACTGCAGCTACGGGGAGGATAGCCCCTGTCGTTCAGACCTGATGAGCGTGCGCCTCCTGAGTAAAAGCCATAGCAGCTCACCTGGCTACGGGGGCCACCACCACCATCAGGTTGCCCTCCTGCTTGTCCGCAAAGCGCAGGTCAATCTGAGGGGGGGAGAGCAGGCAAAAAATGTTTGTTTGTGCCACCGCATCACCGCCATCTGGGCGGGACGGCCGGCGGGCGGGCGAGGGTGCCGGTATCACGAGGGTGCGGGGCACGTGGCGTGGATCTGAGCAAGAGTGATCACGCGCCCAGCATGCAGACGCAAGCACTCCGCCGCTCCTCCCTGCGGCACTGCTGGGCAGCTGACTGGCGTAGGCTTCAGGCCTTCCCTGCACGCGTGGCACATGCACACGGCTGCCAGTCTTCCTGTCCCCCTTCCTGACACCACCACCCCACCACCTAACCACCACCATTACCACCTCGGCCCCAGCAGGCGCAAGCAGGCCGCGCACCTCTGTGCCCCCCAGGTCTGCTATGGACACGGGCGTCTCCCCCCAGCCCTCTGGGACCTTGAAGCTGTACCGCGGGATCTCGGTCCACCCCACACCATGGCCGCCTGCGCCGCAGCACCGGGGCAAGGAGGAGACGGAGGAGGAGGGCGGGAAGCGGTTCAGGAGATGACGTCACGACCCGGCACTCAGACGGTAGGAGAGCGGAGTCACCCAGGTGGTCATGGCGTGCTGCTCGCCCAATGCAAGGCAAATGCCAACACACCCGCAGCAGCAGTGTGGCCCCATTATGACTGCGTCAACGCATTTGATGCGGCAAGCCACGTGGACGTCAGGTAGCAATTACCTGACTTGCCCTCTGGACGCTTGTATGTGTAAAATCCAGAGTCATCGGCCTCAGGAGAGACGCCTGAAGGTTGGGGTTGCAGCGCAGCGGGGCCCGCCTTCGTCGTCGTTCGCCAGGGCTGTGCTGCAGGTGATTCGACGCGGCAAGCTATACTTTGAAAAGTGGGCGGGCAGTGCCAGCAAACGGTCTGCGCGTGGCTGCGGGCAAGCTGCTCACACACAAAGGTGATTCACCTGGCACGCGGCCAGCGGTCAAACCCTGGACTGCACCAGCACTCGAAGCAGCGCCCAGCGCTGGTGCTGCGGTCAGCAGCGCGACAGCGGCACGCCGTGATACAATTGCCATGTCCGAAAGCGTTGCAGGCTGCAGGGTCTGCTGGGACTGCGAGAGGCCCTCTGCAAGAGGCGCAGCGGCTGCGACGCCGCCGCGGTGCCGGAGAGGTGCGGCGGCTTTCGAAGCGACCCCAGCTCGAGCTGGCAGCTGCAACTGCCCGCAGCCAGCGCGTTGCTGGACGCGCAGGGGATCGCAGCAATGGATCCGCATGTTCGCAAATATCTTGCGAGTTTCAGGGACGCGGCAGTTCGCACACTCGATCAGAACGCGGCGATGCCTCAAAGTAACAAAAGTCGCACGCTCGCAGTTATGATAATGTGATGTACATAGGGTACAACTGTTCAAAGTCATGTTAAACGTGCGAACGTTACCAGCTGGACTCAATGTGCCGCCAGTCACAAAACGCATGTGCGCAGGTGATGTCAGCAGCAGGCACGACACGTGCACGCGTGGGTGCCACGAGATCCTCTCTGGCAAGCTTCATTCACAAGCCCAACCTAGCTGCTGATTTTCATACCTGCCAAATTATTGAAGCACCAGCTTGATGTTTGCCAGAACGCTGCTGCTGCGCACGGCTTCCAAGGTGCGCGCGCCAATGCAGCGCAGCCGCGCGTTGGGTCTGGCAGCGGGTGCGAGCCGCTTGGCGGACAAGCAAACGCCCTGGCAGCCACAACAAGCCCAATCCCAACTCATCACCGACGCCTCACGTACCCACCGTCACGGCGCCCCGCCCCTCCTCCCCGGCAGGCCCTCCCCCCTCGCGCCACGCGCCCCACGCCGCCGCCCCGCGCCCGCGCCGCCTCGACGCGCGCCTTCCACAACGCGATGTCCTCCAAGCAGCTGATCGACGCCACCGCCGCCTTTGTCGGCGCGTGGGGCGCCGGGCCCGGCAGTGAGGCCAAGCTGCGAGAGCTGCTCTCCCCAGGCGTCCTTTTCGAGCCGGATGGCGTCGTCTTTAGGCAGGAGCTTAAAGGTGCGCCAGAGCATCACTGCCACATGCAGCCCCCCCACCCCCCGCCCCACGTGACGCGGGCGCTGGCGCTGTCCGCACATGTGCGAGACAGCGCGTGGTCCCCTTGTTCGCGCGTGCGGCGGCTCAAACAGGCTGCCGCGGGCGCGATTGACGGCGCTCGGCAGGCGGGCTCTTGGGCCAAGCGTGCACGGCGTTCATTACAGCAGCACCCCGGGTTCTCGACCACACGCCAACCTCGCTGCCTGCCCCGGCCCCATCTTCGCCCCGCACACACGCGTTGCGAAGGCGCTGACAGCGTTGTGGCCGCGATGCAACGCCAGCACGGGCGCCTGGCGCACCGCCGCTACGACGCCGTGGCGGTGGCTTCCAACCCTGAAGAGCGCACCGCGTTTGCAGCGGTGGCTTGGGAGTACAGTGACAACAACGGGGAGCAGGGGCAGCCCAGGTGGGTCAAGCAGGGGGTGCATGCGGGGAGGGGGGAGCGAGAGGGGGAGAGCTGTGTGTGTGTGTGTACTTGTGTATGTGAGAGAGAGAGTGTGTGCACGTGTGTGTATGTGTGTGGTGTTGCGCTTGGTGGCATCAAATAGCCGGGCAGCCAAGGGTGCAGCGATATCAAGGGGTCAGGAGCACAGGGCGCAGGCGGGGCCTATTTATACAGGGGCACGTCCCTGGCAGCGCGCATTAGCGCCAGCGGCGCCCACCACGGGTGCGTGCCCCCAGCCCTTTCCCCCGGCATGCGCCGCGAGAGCCGGCCCTCAGCACCCCAGGCAAGCGAGAAACCCTGCGCGGCGTCTCCCCAACCGCAGCCGCGGCATGAGCCTGAAGCAGCTTGTATTCGATGATGAGGGGCGCATCTGCGCCACCCGCGTGGTGCGGCAGATGACGCAGGAGGAGAAGAAGGTGGGCCATGGCCACGGTTTCGTTGGCGTCGGGCCGTTGCAGCTGCTATCGCCATTCCCGCTCCCCTTACACAGCCTGGTTACCTTGCGGGGCGATCTGCTCGGCAGACTTGTGTTTTCTGGGGGGGATGACTCTAACGGTGGCATGCGTGGGAGCACAGCTTCCATGCATAGAGCCATATTGCGAGCGTGCGACGGCCTGTTTGCTACGATGCCCTCCACGCCTGCCTGTCAGCCTAACGCGGCCGCCAACTCCACATTCCTGCCCTACCCAGCACTGCCCAACGAATACCCCTGCCCACTTCAGCTCGTCCACACCCACCGACGACTGCGCAGGATCTGCTGTCAGACCCGTCTGCCTGCCACGCCGCCGACCTCTGGGCCGAGGTGCTGCCGAGGCTGGAGGGCGGCGGGTCCAGTGCGCCAGCGGGCGGCGACGAGGCCGCGCAGCACGACAAGGTGCGGGGCTTAGATCGACTGGGGCCTTACTTGGCTGCTGCTGATGGCATCGACAGGTGATGTCCGGGCTACCGTCGACAGACGACGTGGCGCTGAGGCGGGGGTGCAGCCGCTGCAGGGGCACCTGCCCGTGCCTGCAAGATCCCGCGAAGTCAAGCCCGATCATTCCCGCGGCGCTCCAGCTCCTGCGCGCCCGACGCCATGCACCCCCATGACGCTGTCAAGCCCAACCCCCAGCCCGCAAGCGCGTGCGCGCCACCTTCCCCCCAGATGATGAACGCCCTGAAGACGTGGGACGGCGCGTGGGGCAGCGACGGCTGCGACGCGTCCGGCCTGCAGGCGGTCTGCAGCCCCAACCTGCGGGTCCTGGACGGATACGTGAGCGGCCGGTCATCCGCCTGGATGCCCGCCTGCTCGCCTTCCACGCCTGTGCCTGGGCCCTCTCAGCCAGTGGCTGCGGGGCTTCCTGTAGCTCCTCTATGGGCGTCCAGCCACAGCCTGATCAGTGCAAGGGGCCTGGCTAGGCTTGCGCAAGCGCCTGCATGCCTCGTTTCCATGGGGCGCTCCAAATCCGATCTGATGCGCACCCTTCCCTGCTCCTTGTTTCCGCCGCTTTCACGCCTGTCCCGCTGCTTTTAGGGCCTGCATGGCAGCGGCACCAGCTATGGCCTGAAGGAGGCTCAGGAGATGGTGTCGTCCCTCAGGAAGAAGAGCGAGTCCGCCACCTCCATCGTGCACCTCGCAGTCAACCCCGCGGCCAGGGTGCGCTGCCCGCGGCCCCTCCGCCGCCCACCTTGCCTCGCACAGCCAACTTTGCTGCCATGCTCGCTGGGGTCCACGCATGATGCATCGGCTGCGTTGCATCACCAGCCTTTGGTACTTGAGCCACCCCCGTACACCCCTGCAAACTCCATGTTGGCATGCCGCTGCCATCGCGGTCCGTCCACCCCGCCACGCTCCCCCGCGACCACCCCTCGCCTCCGCCCGCAGGTCGGCTTCAGCCGCTGGGAGGCCAACGCCGCTGGCAAGGGGGACCCCGGTCTGGGGGCCGACGCGCTGGTCAAACTCGGCGGCCTGGACCTGGCCCTGTTTGACCAGGAGGGGCGCATCGAGCTCCTGGTGCAGTTCACCATGAAGCAGTACCCCCAGCTGGCCATCCAGTAAGCAAGATGGGCCCGTGGCTGATACGTTACGGGCGGGCATTGCGAGCGCCTGCACGGGGCCAGGGGCCCTGCCCTTCCAAAGGCCCTCTGGACGGCTCTGCCTGCAATGCAGCCTGGAGCGTGCGCATGCGCGCGAGTGGCGCCCGGTGTGGCAATGGCTGCGGTTGCTGCCAGGATTGGTGGCTTGCAGCGGCCGTGGGGCTGATGTGCTCATGGCTGGGTGACGCTTGACCCTTTGATTTCGCAACTGCTTCTGATGTGCACTGTGCGTGCCTTGCATAGCCGTGATTTTGAGATCGGTACCAGCAGGGTATGTAGCTGCCGCAGACTTGTAAAATGCTGGGGTTTGGTCACTGCCGGTGACAGGAGTGTGCACGTCGACCTTCTGTGTATGCCTGCCGCCCAGTTACAAAGGTTGTCTGAGCAGGGCGCCAGCACAGGAGCCGCAGATAACAGCAAGACCATCTGGCATGATGCTTGTGCCTGGGGTGCCGCGCAATGTGTGCACACGCATGCAGGCGGCCAGCACACGGTGTTTGAAAACGAGAAAGCAGCAGGCCCCCACAGTTCAGAGCTCATATACATTGCGGTGTGTGATGGAGGCATCAGAGGGCGTCGCCCCAGCCGGCCTCAAAAGCCACTTGTCTCCTGCACCAGAGCAGCCTCAAGTGCGCGCAGCAAAACCTGATAGGGCCCCGTCGATACCCGCAACCCTAACAACAGCGCTACGCGCCGCAAACCCGACCGCACTGGCCCAACAAGGCAAGCACGCGCCGCCGCCGGCCCCGCCCAGCCGCGTGCCGGCACAGGATGGATGCCCCAGCCGGGGCCGTGGCCGTTGCCGTGGGGCCCTTAGCGCTCGTCCCGCCCTCAGTGCTTCTTGCCCCTGTTGACCGCAGTGGACATGACGCCCTCCATTAGCTTCGCCGACTGGTCGGGCCCGCCGCCCCCGCGGCGCTCTGCGGTGCGCAGGCGCCGCATCTCCGCCTGGCGCGCCTTCTCTCGCGCGAGGCCGGCGAGGCGGCGGCGTGTGTTGCCCTCCACATCGTCCCAATCATACTGCATGCTGGTGTCAGCCTGGGGGGAGCGGTTTGAGTTTGTTTAGTGCAAAAGGTTGCGGTTTTGTAACAGCCACACTGCGGTTCCTAAAATTGCTGGCGCCAGCCTGGGGGTGTGATGCGATGCGGGGAGTGACGTTGTGTGCAGCAGGGGGCGCCAGGGGATGGCCGCGTCTGCAGGCAGCTTCGTCCCTGAAGGAGCCGGGGTGGCGCGTGGACGCGTTCGATGCCACGATGTCTACGACTGCCAAGCAGCCGGTTGCACAGGCTCTCCACCCGCTGCAACCTCGCCGCCCCTCGCCGCGCACCTGGACCGACGCCCAGTTTGCAAACTCTGACACGAGCGTCTCCACCTTGCCGTTGGGCAGGTAGTTGGTGCACAGCGCGCGCAGCACGGCGGGGTCTGCGCGCTGCTTCTCGGGGCTGCCGATGACGAGGCCGTGGACACGCAGGGACAGCTTCTCCTTGGCGCCGGACAGCTTCCTCATAATCTCAGGGCCAGGCTGGCGCAGCTCGCCGTCTGGGGGGGGCGGGGCGGCCAGGGTGATAGTAGGTGGTTGCGGCGGTCGCGGATGATTAGCTGTGCGAACGTCCCGCGAGCGGAGGAGCTGGCAGTGCCGCGCCGGGGCGGCAGTGCGTGGTCGCCCAGGCGCCTGGATAGATGGCATCTGGGTCCATGCTTGCGACAGGGGTGAAGCGGGCTCCCTACGAGTGAGCACCCAGATCCGAGGCAACGCCCCAACTATGCCACCCAGTGCTGTCTACACGTGTCCCACAGCCCACTCAATACCCTCCCACCCGACACCGGCAGGAGCACGCGTCCTTCAGTCCCCTCAGCCACCTCAAGCCCCGTGCCCACCCGACACCAGCAGGATGTCGCTGTTGGCCCATTTCGCGTCAGTGAGGCGGTTGAGGCAGCGCGTCACCGGCTCGTTGAAGTCACTGCCGCCATTGAACACCTAACATCAATAAGATGGGGGACGCTGGTTGTGTGGGGCCGCGGCTTTCGTTTTGGGGGAGTGGGTTGGTTGGGAGGTTTTCTGTCAATCAGGCGTCGCAGTGTGTGACGTTGAAAGGGTCTGGCCCCTTGGTTCAACCCTCGTGGCAGCGACCCCCTCCCCTGTTCGGACAGCTTCTCTCAAGCAGCCTCTTTTCTTTTAGGGGGCCGCAAGCCCTTCCCCCGCCACCTCAGCGCCCCCTCACCTTCTCCAGGAAGTCCAGCAGGTTGTTCACGCTGCGCATATCAGCATTGAGCTCCAGCTCACGCACCTGCATCGACAACAAGTCAAATTACGACACAAAGAGGTAACAAAAAAAAGGTGATCGGGCGCCCAGGTTGACCGACAGCCAGCGCGCCCCAGAAGCCGCCCGCGGGGGGCTTCCCGTTGCGGGCTGCCTGGGCGTCCACTCAAAGGCCGTCGCCGCCCCGCGCCTGCCGACCCCAGCCGAGCCGCAGCGCCACATCCCTCCTTCCCGGACCGCAAGGCAAGTGGGCGCCGAGCGGCAGTCCCCCGCAAGCCGCCCCCGCCTGCCCGCTCGGATCCCCCCAAAAACCCCTCGCACCTCCTGCGGCCCCGAGAAAGCGAAGACGTAGCAGTCGCGCTCCTGCTCCCGCGCCGCCCTCATGCACTCCAGCGCGAGCGCCTTGGCCACCGTCTCGCGCGCGCCGCGCATGCTGCCGCTCGTGTCGACGCACAGCAGGATCGGCCCGCGGTCCGCGGTGGGACGGATCTCGCGCCTGTCGGGGTTGATCTGCGTGGGAAACTCCCCCCAGCCGTCGCGCTCGTAGGTCTGCAGCCCCTTCTCGGCCAGCCGCGCGTAAAACAGCAGCTTGGCCTGCCGCACGCGCCGCCCGCGCGCGAGCACCGCCGCCTCTGCAGGCAGCAGCCGGCTGATGTCGCCGCTGCGGGTGAGGCCGCGCGTCTCCTGGGCTTCCAGGACCGTGCGCAGCAGGCCGGGGCGGCCGCCCATGTCCAGGCGCTGGACGGGGGCGCGGCGGAGGGGGCCCCAGCCGCCGCCGCGGCCAAGGGACCTGACCAGGTCGCGGAGCTCTTTGAGGTCCTCCAGTTTCTTCCGCAGCTCGTCCAGTTGGTTCCAGCCCTGTGGGGTGGGGGTGGGGTGATGGGGTTGGAGGGCGGAGCGTGTGTGTGGGTGTTCGTGTGTGTGTGTGTGTGTATGTGTGTGTGTGTGTGTGTAAGCGCGCGTGCACTCGTGCGTGTGTGTGTGTGCGTGGGCATGTGAACATGCGCTTGGTGGAGCGGCATGAATGGTGGGATTGATGTGGCCTTGCCCGTGCGGGCCCGCACTGGCACCACCCGTTGCCGCGGCCCGCAGCTAAAGCCAAGCGTCCCCACCCTCCTTCCCTGGACTGCCCCCTGCCTCCTCAGCTGCCCGCGCGCACCTGGCGCTTCCAGATGCTCCCCTCCAGCTCGAACCCCGCCCCGCCCAGCAGAGCCTCTAGGCCGTCGAACGCGCGCCCCGCGCGGCCCAGCGTCTCAACGGGCGCCTGCCAGCGCATGTACAGCCCTTTGACCAGCTCCAGGGCTGCCGCCTTGTCGGGCGGCAGCGGCGCGGCGGCGGCCTTCTTCTTCTTTTTGGGGGCGGCCTGGGTGTGTATGAGAGTGTGGGGGGGGTGTAAAGGGACCGGTGTGGTGAGGTGCAAGGACGGCTCCAGATTTGTCGGCAGGTTAAAGTTGTTAATTTGAGGCGGCAGCGGCGCCTTGTCTCCTAGCATGCACGGCCGCGCGACGCACGAGTTTGGGCGCCCGGCGCGGCC